GTAAACTTAACTATTTACTATTGAATTGAATTAATACTAAAAACTTTATTTGCTCATGGCACTGATTCAACAACACAATAATACGTTTTACATACAATAAATCAAATTTAATTTAATAGAATTTTTGTATTTTGCCCAGGCATGTATAGCTCGTGCCCCTAGCAACCACGTGCCCCTATACCACAACCACCACGAGTTTTATATGATACTGTGCACCACTGACCAGGACACATGGAAAACCAATCCACTGGCACAGGTAGTCCAATGTGTGAATGAAATGAATGATGAGTTTCCCGATGCCGATACGGCTAATGTACTGACAGCCTGTGCCGCTAAAGACAATGTCGAGGGGAACGGCTATTTAGATGAGGTATTAGCCGCCACTGATGGACTCTATCCAGAAATTACTCCAGGTATTATTTATTAAAAATATATAATTTTTTAAAAACTTTGTGTTCGGAAATGTTTCCAATTATTTATTAATATCAAAATTTTAAATATTGAAATAACAATAATAATTTAAATTACCGTTTTCTAATAAAACTTTAAAAACTTTTACCCTGGTTAAAGAGAGTGATCCACTGATATTAATTAATGGCGTTCGCAATGATAAAGCATTGAGTAATGTGTGAATGAAGTGAATGATGAGGTGCCCGATCCCGATACGGCTAATGCACTGACAGCCTGTGCCGCTAAAGACAATGTCGAGGGGAACGGCTATTTAGATGAGGTATTGGCCGCCACTGATGGACTCTATCCAGAAATTACTCCAGGTATTATTTTTTAAAAATAAAATGTTTTAAAAACTTGGGTGAGCGGAAAGGGATCCAATTATTTATTAATATCAAAATTTAAAAATATTAAAATAACATAAATAATTTAAATTACAGTTTTTTAATAACACTTTAAAAAATTTACCCTGGTTACAGAGAGTGATCCACTTATATTAATTAATGGCGTTCGTAATGATAAAGCATTGACTAAAATTAGATACGAAGTGTGCAAGGCAATTCCGGTTAGTAAGATTTATTATATAAATAATTAACTTCTAATTTATTTAAAATATTATATTATACTGTATTAACATTATAGAAAGAATTGAGACCAGCACCTTGCTCAGATGTGACAGAGGATCCGGATGTGCCTGTTGACATAAGTGTGCCAACTGATAAAGTTAAAGTGCAGGTGTATTACTCGCCGTATAGTCCGAAGTCTATTGATTTGATTAAATTGAATGCCGAGGGAAATGATAAAGGATTATATGAGTTGATGTTACCTGAGGTGGACGGGGAGACCAAGTATAACGTGGAAGTGGATTATATACCGTGGGGAAGGGCTACCAGGGATACGGACACTGGTACTGGCAAGTTTACGTACACGTGCGCTGAGGGGGATGATACTTGTATAGCAACTAGACTTCACGTAAGTTTTAATTTTTTAATTCTTTCTAAACTGTAAACTAAACGAAATCATTACACAAACTTATGTTTGATTTTGTAAATAACTAAATTTGGTAATTCTGAACAAACTCAAATAAAGTAATTTTATTTTACCCAGGCATGTATCGCTCGAAACCACGTGTCCTTATACCACAATCACCACGAGTTTTATATGATACTATGCACTACTAACCAGGATACATGGACAACCGATCCATTAGCACAGGTGGCCCAATGTGCCAGAGATGTGAATGACGAGGGTCCTGATGAGGGCACGTCCGATGCCCTTAAAGCATGTGCCGCCATAGATAATGCTGAAGGGAACGGCTACCTTAATGAGGTGTTGGCAGCTACTGACATATTATATCCCGGAATTGATGAAGGTAATTCTTTTTATGCTATTTATGTGGATTAAATTATGATTAATATTTATTCATTATATAGCAAGCGATCCATTGGTGTTAATCAATGGTAAACGTAGTGCTAATGCGTTGACTGATTTGAAAAGCGCTGTTTGCAATGCATT